TTTGATCCTGCAGCTGTGGAGTCTTTAACGCCTGTTGAACTGAGGTTTCGTAACCTGGTTGCTTCAGGCCCTGGCACTCCTGATCTGGTTCCAGCCAACTCGCCTCGCCACGAAGAAAACGCCAACCCCAATTCACCTGTAGGCTGGAGGCGTTCGGCACCGGCTCAGTTGTCAGTGCTGCAGATCTCACCCTCTTCAGATTTGGAGGTGACCATTCAAGTGGCAGAAGGAGCCAGCGGCAACGTCTCCAATGGCAGCAGCCGGCGATTGAGTCAGCTTTCTCCGGTCTTTGTCGTCAATGGCCCAATGAGCGGTGTCACCTTCATTGGGCAAGCACCTTCAGAGATGGTTGCGCCCGAAAATGATCTCATTCCCGAACTACCCAATCCACCTCATCATGGCCATCTGCAGCGACAGTCCTCGGGCTCGTCTGCACAAGGAGTTAGTGCTGCTGCTGCACTGTGGCACGACAGCAACAATAACAACAACGGCTCCAATCGACGTTCAGTGATCACACACGCCACATCTTCAGGCGCCAATCTTCAGGCACCGACACATGACCGGAACAACAATCCACTGAATGAGAATGTCAGCAACGGCAGCATCGATGGTACGCCCTCTGATGCCGTGACACCCTCTTCACACGAGAATCCCAAAGGACAGCAGCACTTCTCTAGCCAATCTTCTTCGGCTTCAGTTGAATCGTTGACCGACGCAGACGCACAGTCAATTGAGAATGGCAGCCAGATGTCTGACACGCAGTCAATTGATTCCACGGCAGCTACTATTGACTCTACCTCCGAAGCTTCGCTGGCTGTCTTTCGAGGCCCAGTGGCTACCTCTTCCTCCAGCTCTGCTGACATGTCTGCTGGATATCGTCACCAGCACCATCATTCTCAGGGTGTTCCGGCGTTTGTCGAGGACAATACGCAACAGATCTTGCAGTTGCAAGCGGCTGCTTTTCGTGAACGATCTCAATCACAATCCTCACAGGCTTCATCGGTCTCTCCGAACGGTGTCACACAAGTTCAACAATGCCCAAACAATGTCAACACTGCACAGCAAAACAGTCCATCCAACGCTGGCTTGCAATCACCGTCAGTGACTGCCAATGCTGCGAACCAGTCACCAAGTCAGCAATCTCATCTTGTTAACCTTCCTACCGCTAGCGGCCTTAGAAATCAGGTACTTTTGAAGTTACTTTATAATGTTTCAAAAATGTTAAATTTATTTCTTTTTATCTCTCTAGTCTATTATGTTTGCGCCAGTAATGTTTCAGCAGCAAGACGCCAATCAAAGAACGCCCAGACATAATCAGTCGTCACAGCAGTCTACCTCGTCTTCCCCTTTGGCGAATGTAAATCAAAATGTTCCTGTAAGTGGAGGCAACAATCAGCCGCCAAGCCGCCGTGTTTGCTTGAGGCGTAGTTCTTCAAATAATGTCAGCTCTCTGCCAACATATCCTCCTCGTGATGGATACGGCTCTACGCCTCCTGCTCAAGTGGGCTCGCTGCTTTCGCCGCGTTATCCTCTGGTTTTGGCCGGTAGCAGTTCGGTGGGAAACTTCACTGAAATGTTTGGCGATATCTTGGAGCAATTCGCTGTGAATCCTCAGGTTCCACAAGTGGCACTTATTGCTCAAGTACCGCCACAGATTCAGCTGCAGTCGCAAGCACCACCGCCGTACAGGCCTAACGTCAGCCATCATCATCTGAACAACACTACCTCAAACGGACCTGTGCCCCAGCCTCAACAGCAACCGCCTATCCATTTTCGCTATCGAAGTGGAGATGGATCGCGTAGTGCTAGTGGAAACTCTGTGCGCGTCAATTCGGGCAATCGACGTCTCACCTTTCCTACCTGTCCATATGCTCATCTTGCTTCGCGCCCTCCTAATNATCGCGTAGTGCTAGTGGAAACTCTGTGCGCGTCAACTCGGGCAATCGACGTCTCACCTTTCCTACCTGTCCATATGCTCATCTTGCTTCGCGCCCTCCTAATCATAATGCTCACGCACAGCAGGTAGCAGCCAACCGGTACTTGGCGGAAACTCAAATGTATGGTCAGCAACATCAACAGCCACCGCATCAGCAGCAGCAGTCACAGCAGCAGATTCAATCGCAGCAGCAGCCTCAGCAGACTAACTTTCAGTCATGTCCTGCCTTACGGCGAAGTGGTGGTGGGGGGTCATCGCAAGCACAAGGNCATCAGCACCAGCCACAGCAGCAGCAGTCACAGCAGCAGATTCAATCGCAACAGCAACCTCAGCAGACTAACTTTCAGTCATGTCCTGCCTTACGTCGAAGTGGTGGTGGGTCATCGCAAGCACAAAATGCCGTGGATAGCTTCACTCAACGCTTCAACCAGGCAGGCTACAATGCTTCACCGCAGCAGTCGGCGCCTCAGCCACAGGCCAATAGCACTTACCATCGTAATGCATACCCCAGTCATGCACTGCTTACTCCTGAAATTCTGCACCGAACGATTGCTCAAGCGCCAAACGTCATTCCTCTGATTGTGCCAGGCAATTCGGCACCACCTCAAGCTCAAGGTCAACAGACAGGCAATCTGAATTCAGGCCGAAGCTCGCATCCAGTGATGCTCACCGCCGCTACCTATCCGAACATCTACCCACAGCTGATGATGTTCATGGCCAGTCTGCTGACCCATCCACCGGCGAACAACGCCATTTCATTCTCAACAGCACCACCACCACCCCCTCCTCCGGCTCAGCCACAGGCAGCAATTCATCCTGGTCATGGAAACATTAATCAGTACGCAAACCGAGCTGGAACATCAAACGGCAATGTGAATAGCCAACAAAGTGGACAGTCAGGACAGGCCAACTCCCAGGCTTATGGTCACTCGCACTACCAAGGACCACCACCGGCAGCGCAGGGAGCCTCTCAGGCGTTGCCACCGAATGGAGCTCCCTACAGTTTGCCGTCCATTCCAATTCCGGCAGCCTACTACACGCATCAGCCTACTACTTCGAGCCACCGAGTGAACTCGGGCGTCTTGCCACTGCCGCCGCAGCCTCATCACCACCACCACCATCACCACGGGTCACAAGGTCACAGGCTGTACCCATTCTATACCAGCAGCCGTCATGCACACCATCGTGGATTCTTCAGTGATCTGCACGATCTCAGCAACTTTGCCCAGGCCAACTTTAACGGTATGGCGCCACTGTTTCAAGATTCCCCTGAAGCAGAAAACTACGAGGCTTTGCTTAGTCTGGCCGAGAGACTGGGCGAGGCGAAACCGCGTGGCCTCACCAAACAGGAGATTGATCAGCTGCCCTCGTACAAGTACAAGGGCTCCAATGACGAGAGTGATCAGACGATGTGTGTCGTTTGCATGTGTGACTTTGAAATGAAGCAGAACTTGCGCGTTTTGCCCTGTTCGCATGAATTTCACACCCGATGCGTCGACAAGTGGTTGAAGGTATGTTGAGAGTGCATGTTTTTCTTCCTTAGCAAATTCTAACTTTATTTTTCCTTCCAGACCAACCGAACTTGNCGTTTTGCCCTGTTCGCATGAATTTCACACCCGATGCGTCGACAAGTGGTTGAAAGTATGTTGAGAGTGCATGTTTTTCTTTCATTGCAAATTCTAACTTTATTTTTCCTTCCAGACCAACCGAACTTGCCCAATCTGCCGACGTGATTCCACTGTTTCCAGTCACGAATCCGATTAACAATCGCAAAATTTGGTACCATCAAGTAGTAGCAGTGCTGCCAACTACTAATCTTCATACTTCATGATTTTTTCTTTTGACAATTTTCACTTTGATACATTATAGTTCTCACTATCTAATTCTACCTTTCTAGTTGATTCAGTACACCACCATCCAAGCTGATCTTTAATACAATTTTAATGAAGTAACACACACATCTCCATTTTTGTGCCATTGTTTTCCATTTTAGGCACTGTAAATTTGTAATAAGCTCTTGTTAAATGTCTCTTAAAACTGTAACACACACACACCCTCATACACACAATGAATACTTATCTCACTCTAAGCCAGTTCAATGGTGTCTTCCTCTTCACAATTTAAACTAAATGTGAACATTGCCACAAGCCAACCATCCAATCAATCAAATACAAAAGCACACACACATTTCTGTACATTTGCTTTTCTTACTTACTAACCTGATTACAATTGTTGATGTACGATATCATTATTTTTGTAGGAACTTTTCAATTTTAAATAATAAAAAACTT